CCCCTGAGCCCCCCCCCCGACGCCCCCACAGAAAATGAGCCGGGCGGTGACCGAGGCTTTCGTCAGGCTGCACGAGCAGGGCCTGATCTACCGCAGCCGCCGCATCGTGCACTGGAGCTGCGCCCTGCGCTCGGCCATCTCCGACATCGAGGTACCCAAACACCAAAAACACCCCAAAAACACCCAAAAACACCCCAAAACACCCCAAAACACCCCAAAAACACCCCAAAAACACCCCAAAACACCCCAAAAACACCCCAAAAACACCCCAAAACACCCCAAAACCCCCCCAAAACCCCCCCAAAACCGCCCCAAACCCCCGAAAACACCCCAAAACACCCCAAAACACCCCAAAACCCCCCCAAAACCGCCCCAAACCCCCCAAAACCCCCCAAAACACCCCAAAACCCCCCCAAAACCGCCCCCAAAACCCCCCAAACCCCGCTGGGGCTGGGGGCGCTCGGGGGTCCCTGGGGTCGGGGTCCTTTTCCTGCCCCCGGGAGGTTTTTGGGGGGGGCTCTGGGGGCGGTTTTGGGGTCTCACGGGGGTCTCTGTGCCCCCCCAGGTGGAGAAGCGGGAGCTGGGGGGCCGCACCCTGCTGCGGGTGCCGGGCTACGACGAGCCCGTGGAGTTCGGGGTCCTGGTGGCCTTCGCCTACCCCCTGGAGGGGGCTGGTAAATGGGGGGGTCTGGGGGGTCTGGGGGGGTCTGGGGGGTCTGGGGGGGCTCAGGCATCTCTCTGGGGTCTATGGGGTCTCTGTGGGGTCTCTGGGGGTCTCTTTGGGGTCTCTGGGGGTCTCTGGGGGTCCCTTTGGGGTCTCTGTGGGGTCTCTATGGGGTCTCTGGGGGTCTCTATGGGGTCTCTGTGGGGTCTGTGGGGTCTCTGGGGCCCATGGGGTGACCCCAGCCCCGTTGTGCCCCCCAGGGGAGGGGGAGGACGCCGAGCTCGTGGTGGCCACGACGCGTCTGGAGACGATGCTGGGGGACGAGGCCGTGGCCGTGCACCCCGAGGACCCCCGGTACCAGGTGAGGGCGGGGCCAGGCACACCTGAGACCCCCGGTACCAGGTGAGGGTGGGGCCGTGCACCCCGAGGACCCCTGGTACCAGGTGAGGGCGGGGCCAGACACACCTGAGACCCCCGGTACCAGGTGAGGGGCAGGACCTGCCCAGCTGTAGGTGTGTGCCTGACAGTGGGCGTGGCTCAGGCAGTGTCCCCAGGTGGGCGTGGCTCAGGCAGTGTCCCCAGGTGGGCGTGGCTCAGTGTCCCCAGGTGGGCGTGGCTCAGTGTCCCCAGGTGGGCGTGGCTCAGGGTCCCCAGGTGGGCGTGGCCAGGCTCAGGTGTGTCCCTGAGGCCCCGCCCTCCCTCCCCGGCAGCACCTGCGGGGTCGCCACGTCCTGCACCCGTTCACGGGGCGGCGCCTGCCGGTTCTGCACGACGCCTTCGTGGACCCCCAGTTCGGCACCGGTGAGGGGTGGGGCCTGGGGGCGGGGCCTGCAGGGGTGGGGCTGTTTGGGTGTGGTTTGGGGGCGGGGCCTGCAGGGGTGGGGCTGTTCGGCTGTTGTTATTTTTGGGTGTGGTTTGGGTGTGGCAGGAGTGGGGCGTGGCCTGTGTAGGTGTGGTCCAAAGGGGGTGTGACCTAACCAGGTGTGGCTTAGAGGGCTTGTGGTGGTGTGGGCGTGGCCGGGGTGGGCGTGGCCTGCTCGTGGGTGTGTCCCAACCCCGGCCCCGCCCCCAGGCGCCGTTAAGATCACGCCCGCCCACGACGCCACCGACTTCGAGGTGGGGCAGCGGCACGGGCTGGGCGTGGCCACCGTCATCGCCGAGGACGGCACCATGGTCAACGTCCCCGCCCCCTTCCAGGTGAGGCCCCGCCCCCTTCTGGGTGAGACCCCACCCCCTTCCGGGTGAGACCCCGCCCCCTTCCGGGTGAGACCCCGCCCCCTTCCGGGTGAGGCCCCACCCCCGGTGGGGCAGAGAGACCCCGGGGGGGGGGAAATGGGGGGGCTGGGGGGGGAGTCCGGTGGTCTGGGGTCACTCGGGGTCACTCAGGGTCACTGTGGTCACTCTGTGGTCACTCTGTGGTCACTCTGTGGTCACTCTGTAGTCACTGTGGTCACTCTGGTCACTCTGTGGTCACTCTGTGGTCACTCTGTGATCACTTGGGGGGGCTGTGGTCACTCGTGGTCACTCTGTGGTCACTCTGGTCACTCTGTGGTCACTCTGTGGTCACTCTGTGGTCAGTCTGGTCACTCTGGTCACTGTGGTCACTCTGGTCACTCTGTGGTCACTCTGGTCACTGTGGTCACTCTGGACCCTCCCCAGGGGATGCCGCGGTTCAAGGCGCGCTCGCTGCTGCTGGAGACCCTCAAGGAGCGGGGGCTGTTCCGGGGGGTCAGCGAGAACCCCATGGTGGTGCCCGTCTGCAGGCGGGGCACGGGGCCAGGGGGGGACACGGGGG